CCCCGAAGATGACCACTCTTCGGGTTCTGCTGCACGTTGCTGCTCACCGTGACTATGAGCTGCACTCTCTCGACTTCAGCACAGCTTTCTTGCAGGGCAGCCTGCACGAGGAGATCTGGCTGCGCCGCCCACCTGGCTTCACTGGGTCTTTCCCTCCTGGTACCCAGTGGAGTCTCCGGCGTCCAGTCTACGGTCTCCGCCAGGCGCCACGTGAGTGGCACGACACACTGAGGACTACGCTCGCGGCACTTGGGTTTGCTCCTTCTACTGCCGACCCGTCGCTGTTTCTGCGCACCGACACCTCTCTGCCGCCGTTCTACATCCTCGTGTACGTCGACGACTTGGTCTTTGCCACAGCTGACACTGCTGGACTCGCCTACGTGAAGTCTGAGCTGCAGAAGAGACACACGTGCACTGACCTGGGTGAACTGCGCAGCTACCTTGGCTTGCAGATCACCCGGGATAGAGCACGCCGCACCATTACCCTGACTCAGTCACACATGGTGCAGCAGGTCCTTCAGCGCTTCGGCTTCACGTACTCCTCGCCTCAGGCCACTCCTCTGCCTACTCGCCACTCACTCTCAGCTCTGCCTTCGGATGAGTCCGTAGAGTCGAGTGGCCCGTTTGCAGAGCTTGTTGGCTGCCTCATGTACTTGATGACCTGCACACGACCTGACCTCGCATACCCTCTTAGCATTCTCGCACGCTTTGTTGCTCCTGGGAGACACCGACCAGAGCACATGGCTGCAGCAAAGAGGGTGTTGCGCTACTTGTGCAGTACGTCGGGCATGGGGCTAGTGCTTGGAGGGCGCAGTCCAGTGGTCCTCACTGGGCACGCAGACGCTTCTTGGGCTGACGACCAGGCTACGCAGCGGTCGTCACAGGGTTACTCCTTCAGCCTTGGTTCCGGCTCTGTCTCGTGGCGGGCTACCCGCTCGTCTTCTGTTCTCGGCTCCAGTTGTGAGGCTGAGATCTACGCTGGGGCTATGGCTGCACAGGAGTTACGCTGGCTCACCTACCTGCTGACCGACCTTGGAGAGCAGCCTCGTTCTCCTCCAGTCCTGTACGTAGACAACAAGGCCATGCTGGCCTTGTGTCGAGAGCAGCGACTGGAGCACAGAACGAAGCACATTGCTCTCCGCTACTTTCTTGCTCGTGAGCTACAGCAGCGTGGACAGTTGCGACTTGCGTACGTGGCCTCTGAGGCCAACACTGCTGATGTCTTCACCAAGGCACTTGCGCCTTGTGATCATCAGCGTTGTTGCACGCAGTTGGGTCTTGTGCCTGTCTTGCCTCACTTGCTCTGCTCTTGACCTTGCTTGTACCTTCACCTATATATACTCTTGCTCTTGCTTGCTTGACTCTTGTATATCTCTATATATGATCTTGCATGTGAACTGGCCTTCTGGCCTTTGAACTTGTGCTCGGAATGCGTGGTGACTTTGTGATCCACCCTGAGCTTTGCTTTGCTTTGCTTGACTGGTCTTGTGACCCCTTGTTCTCCCCCACTTTGCCTATGGGGGTGTGTCAGAACATATAGCTTACTTATTTCTGTAGGCTATAGTGGGGTATCCCATAGGGGGTACAACCCAATTAGGGTTTCCTATTTGTACCCACTTCTTTTTCATAGTCATTCACTTCTCGTTCGTACTTTCTCAGAAGAGACACACGTGCACTGACCTTGGTGAGCTGCGTCACTACCTTGGCCTGCAGATCACCAGGGACAGAGCTGCTCGCACCATTACACTCTCACAGTCACACATGGTGCAGCAGGTCCTTCAGTGGTTCGAGCGTCAGCACTCCACAGTACAGCGCACACCTCTTGCTGTTGACCACAAACTCACTGGACCCTCTCCTGACGAGCCATTTGAGTCCAGTGGTCCCTACGCAGAGGTAGTGAGCTGCCTCATGTACCTGATGACTTGTACTCGCCCGGACCTCGCCTTCCCTCTCAGCGTCCTTGCCCGCTTTGTTGCGCCAGGGAGGCACCGTCCTGTTCACTGGATGGCAACTGTGAGGGTGGCGAAGTACCTAGCAACGACATCAGGCGTGGGGCTAGTTCTTGGAGGGCAGCAGCCTGTCGTACTTACTGGTCACTGTGACTCTTCTTACGCTGACGACACTGAGACTCACAGGTCTACTCAGGGGTACTGTTTCAGCTTGGGTTCTGGAGCTGCTTCCTAGCGGTCCACGCACTCCTCTTCGGTCTCGACCTCTACAGCTGAGGCTGAGATCTACGCTGGTGCCATGGCGGCACAGGAGCTGCGTTGGTTGACGTTTTTGCTCGCTGACCTTGGTGAGCGGCCGAGCTCTGCACCGACCTTGTTCACTGACAACAAGGTGTTGATTCTCCTTTGTCGTGAGCCGAGACTGGAGAGCAGAGTGAAGCACATTCACGTCAGGTACTTCCTTCTGCGAGAGTTGCAGAGACGTGGACAGGCTCGCTTCGAGTTTGTGGAGTCCGAGGCCAACACTGCAGACATCTTCACCAAGGCGCTTCCGCCTTGTGACCACCAGAGGTGTTGTGTGCAGTTAGGCCTTGTTGACACAGGTTCTAGTCATGTATAGGCTTGAGTTTTCTGTTTACTTTGCTTGTACTCTTGCTATACACACTTGTGAACTTTTGGACTGGTCTTGTGGCCACTGTTGCTTGTGCTCAGAGTGTGTGGTGACGTTGTGATCCACCTTGAGCTTTTTATCTTTGTGACTGGTCTTGTGACCGTACACTTTTGGTTTTGCTAGACACCCCTCACTTAGGCTATGGGGGTGTGTCAAATATTGTAGCCTATAGTGAGGTTTATCTTAGGGGGTACAGAAGTTAGGGTTTGTCATATGTACCCCAACTCACATCAATGACATCATCACTTCCTTTCTTGACACGCTGGCCTAAGTCCGCTAAAGAATTAGTGGGGTCCAGGGCCCTAGATATCAGACTTTGGAGTCTGATTCAGAGTCCATTCAAACTTTTTTTTTGTACCTAGTCTGAACTCAAAGAATTTTTTTATGCACCCTGTCTGATTTTTCAGAGTTTTTTTAACTGACTTGTCTGAAATTTCAGAGTAGTCATAGTAGTGTAGGCTGAGCCTCAAACTTGTATCGGGGGTCCACTCTGAAACCGGTTATACAGGGGTTTCCGCCGACTGAATGAAAGGTTATCGGAACGAAACTTCCTCGAAACTTTTTTTCGATACACCCACGTGTGTATGGGCCAGCACTAACGATTTCCTCCGGATAAAACTGCTCGAGTAGTGGTACAAGGATACACTACTTTGTCGACGCTATCTCGAGTGTCGAATTCATTGGGGGCTTATAATAGCCCTTAAATTGTGAAACTAGATAGCCAATCGCACATGGCCAAAACGATTTTAGCGAATCGCACATGGGGAAAAGCGAATTGGTGCAATCGAAAGCAGTGTCACATATGAGTCTCGTACTTCAGCAGAACCGCACATCATTTCCCCTTCCCAAACCGAGTCAAAATTTTGAATCTGCAACTTTAGGAGAGAATATTCCGCGCACATAGGGTGTACACAGTTGAAAACTCTTGCTGCAGCCAGCGCGCCCAGCACAGAAAAGTTCCGAGCGATACCATGCCTGCTGCCAGGTCAGCTGATTGGGAGCTTGCCACACTTGGCACTTGCACGAGGCCATTGTCTGATGCCCACACCTCGACTCGACCTTGACTGCTCAGTGATCCTAACTCTTCACAAATGACCAATCAGAGTGCCCCATTTCTGGCCGCACAATTGCGTTGGTATGCTGTAATCAGCTTCAATGCTATTATAGCTATGCTGTTATGAAACTGCATGAACATCTTAAAATTTGAAGTAACTTTGACAGTTCAGACAAAAGAAGTTGTGCTTGTCTGAATTTTCAGACTAAAAAAAAAAGGTAACTCTGACAGCCAGACTAGGAAGAGGGGTGTACTCTGAGGCGTCAGACTACCTCAAAACGAATCTAGGGGCTTGGTGGGGTCGACTAAGTCGAGGATGAAACGCGGCGGAAGACTTTGGCGAAAGAACTATTGGCGAAATAGGCGAAGAAGTTACTGAGTAATTGAAGAAGAGTTGAATGAGAATTGGTTGATATTGGTGGATACAAGCAAGGATGATATAGCATGCAAGGTCGAATGTCGGAAATTACTTCGTGGGACTAGAAAGTAAAAGCAAGAAAGATAGAGTGCCACGTGGCACTAGGCAATCTTAAAAGATAAGGATAAGGATGGGGTTGGGAGTACTGTTAAAAGGGAACAGTAAACACCCCTCTAACAGCTAGACTGTGGTGAATACAGATGGCCCTCGCCTTGATTGTGTGGTATGGTGAATACAGATGGTCCTCGCCCAGATGCAGCCTGCTAGACATCAGGACGCGATACCTCTTTCGATTTTGCACGATCGATCGTGCAAAAACCGAAAGAGGTGACGCGTCCTTAGGAGCGCACAATCATCGCGTCACAAAGGTCGCATCTCAGCAGCTTCAAGGAATCGCGTTAATACCGTAGCATGCACCGATACGTTGATAATCTAAGAGCAGGCTGCGTTGTGTATTGTGTATTGCTATAAGGAACAAGAATACTGTTTCACTCACGATTCCTCGAAATTGTCAAGATGCGACCTGAGTGACGCAACAGTTCCGCACTGCTGACGCGGAGCAGGCTGCATCTGATAGCGCCAACATTCAAGGCGAGGGCCGGTCTAGTCTAGTTGCGCGTCGTCTTTTCCCTGTTCTTAGCTCCTCCTTATTTCCTTCTCTCTTGCGTGGAAGGTCTCCTTTGTCTGCTTCGACTACCGTTACATTAGACATGGTAACCAACGCGAACGGACCGCGCTTTTGCACTATGCTGCCGCGCATTTCAAATAGCTTAGATGGGCAGACTATCAGCAGTAGTTACTTCACCTGCTCTCCGCATATTCATCCATTTCTAGAACCGACTCTCACTCGCCAGAACATATCGCACTGTATTATTCTTCTCTCACTCGCTGCGCTAATCTTCGCAAATGATGTCGCACGTACCGGAGACCATGGCGGCGTGGCAGTACTTCAAGCACGGCGGCGGGGCTGATGCTCTCTCGGTGCGTTAACTCTGCTTGAGTCACCCGAGGGGTTGTTGGTTGTAGCAGTCGCACGTATGCCCTTTCTCTGCACCGCCATGCGCTTCCGCATGGAAAGCGGTGCTTGCTTCAAACGCCCGCCGTAGCCTTCACTTTGCTGGCGGCGTCGTTCCGCCGCGACGCAATATCGGTCGAAATACATAATTGTTGAAGCGTGACCGAGGATTGGTTGTACTCACTTCCGACGTTCCGCGTTTGCGCAAGCTCAGAGCTTTGCTATCATCTGCTTGCTGTTACTCTTCCCTCATCCCGCGCCCTCCTACTTCACCAGTTGAATGAAAACGTCCCAGTGCCCACGCCATGCAAGGGCGAGGTCCTGGTTCGCGTGCGCGCGGCGAGCATCAACCCGGGCGACTGGAAGCTGCAATCTGGGCTCATCCCCTTCCTCCCGCGCCGCTTCCCCGCCACCGCTGGTGAGAAAGCGTGGACGCGTTTGCTTGTGCGTTGTGCAAAAACGGAGGCTTTAAGGGACATGGTAGATGGTTGGAGGCCGACTGGAAGGTGCCTCACTGGGCTCATTCATTCCTGCAACTGCAATTCGCCTCCGAGGCGAACTCTGCTGGCGTGCGCTGGGAAACAGCCGGTGGTTAGCTGGGCGATATCGTTTCCCCGAGCTGCCCTCTGTTTCCGAGCTGCCAATGATCACCCGCAGTTACCCAAATTTCGGTTCGTGGTGTCACGGAACAGTTTGCGGGCTGCGACCACCGGCTTGCCGCTTGTCGGCCCTACTTCTCAAACAATTTGTTTGTGTTTTGGATTCTGCTGTCTCATCCCACCATGCAGGCTTCGACCTTTCCGGCAATGTGGTGGCACTGGGGCCTGGTGTTACCAAGTACACCGTTGGCGAGGCAGTATTTGGAAGGGCACCGTTCTTTGTACGTTTGTTGGAGTCAATTTCGCTTTCCTTTTGCCCACTGCGCGGCTCCACCTCTCTTCACCACTCTGAATCGCATTCCTCACTCTTAGCATGCGAGGGCTCCTGGTTCCGACAGCCTATAGTTTGATTTGAGCCACATTCACATTCATACTCGTGCTCAAATTCTCGTGTGGTATTCCTATACCCAACTACCCTACAGCCTCCCGCCACGGCTCGTTTCAACCATTCACCCTCTATGCCTTCTCCCATCTTCTCTCCTAACCCTCGTTTATTCTCTCAAAAAATGGGGGCTTTGGCGCAGTACGCAGTGCTGGACCTTCAAGGCAGCGCACGCAAGCCCTTCTCCCTCACTTTCCCCGTACCTCTTGTCTATTCCTGTTGCTGTTCTCTCAGAAAATGGGGGCTTTGGCAGAGTACGCAGTGCTGGACCTTCAAGGCAGCGCACGCAAGCCCTCCTCCCTTACCTTCGAGACCGCTGCTGCTCTTCCAATCGCCAGTCTCACTGCTCTGCAAGCTGTGAGGGACTATGCCGGCCTGCCTCTCCCTGCTCCCAAACTGAGTGGGGAGGGGACTGGTGACAGCAGTGGTAATAAGGCTGAGAGTACCAGCAACAGTACTAGCAGCAATGGGTGCAGCAGTGGGAGCAGTGCGCGGGTGCTGGTGGCGAATGCGTCAGGGGGAGTGGGGCATCTGGCAGTGCAGCTGGCTAAGGCAGCAGGGGCACACGTGACTGCCACTGTCGGCACTCGCAACCTCGCCTTTGCACGGACCGTGCTTGGAGCAGACGAGGTGTTTGATTACAACTCCGCTGCAGGGAAACAGCTCTTCCCTTCCCCACCCCCGTCCCCTTCGCCTGTTATCAGCCTTTCCAAGCCTCATGCCGCCCAGGTTGCTTCGTCTGCGGAACCTCCTAGCAGTGGGCTGTATGATGTGGTGATTGATTGCTCTCCCAACAGCCTGGCCGTTTCTGCTGTTGACCGGGTTCTCCGTCCCGAAGGGAAGTGGGTGCATGTGATTCCCCCGTTCTCAGTGTTCGCTTTGGGGCTTTGGCGCCGGTTCGCAGGTCGTCCGAAGAAGATTTATAATGTTATGATGGAGAACAGGGGGTCTGATCTGGAGGTGGTGGGGAGGATGGTGGAGGAGGGGAAGGTGAAGGTGGTGATAGAGGGTAGTGTGCCGTTTGAAGAGGCGAGAGAGGCTTGGAGGAAGAGCATGGATGGGCATGTCACAGGGAAGTTGGTGGTTAGGATGGAGTAAAAAGGGTCAGAGTATCATGTTTGTTATTGAAATTAATCGCATGGATGTATTCATGAGTACTTATTATTATAAATTTCCATTGAAGTGTATCAGATGTGGACTTGTTTCTGCTTACAATATGACCATCGCCCAATCACTCTCATTTGTCCTTATCGAATTTGAGTACAGAGCCAGTTGTGTGTGAGTGCGCATGAATCACGTCACAATGTGTTCCATGAGCGTGGTGCATCATAGCACTGCATCGCACTCAACCAGGCCCCAAATTTCAAGGGTAAAATATCCTTTTGCTCTGATGGTAGGCCGCTTTTTCCCAGTTACCCTTGCAAAAACAGGGTATTAGTTTTTTAACCCTAGAGCGAACAGGCTAAGTTTTGATTTACACTGATAACGATTTCTGTTACCTTGCCAATATCACTGTGCACTGTATACTATACTGATACCGAATCCTCTGTAGCGAGAGATTAATTGAGGAGCCGCAAAAGAATTTAGGGCGTGTAACCATTTTGATTTATTGTGATTTTCCGGACCGTCCGTATTTTTTCAATCGGACTGTCCTAATATCGAGAACCGGACTGTCCGATATGACGTTTCGGAACCTTGCTGTCAAACATTATATGTGTTGTTATTGTGTAGGCTATAGTGGGTTAGCCTTTAGGGGGTACACAAAGTTAGGGTTTGCTATTTGTACTCCAACTCTCATAGTGCAATCACTTCTCTCTCATTCTAACATGGTATTACGAGCCTAGGCTAGGAACCTAGGACCGTTCCTAAGGGCCCACCGTTTCCGCTCGGAGCGCCCTCGTGCGCCGTCCTTTCTAGCGCCCTCGTGCGCCGTCCTTTCTAGCGCCCTCGTGCGCCTCGCTCCTAGTGCGCCCTCGTGCGCCGCCCCTTAGAGGCCCCGTCGGCCCCGTCGACCTCACTTAGAGGCCCCGTCGGCCCCACGTGCCGCCCCTTAACTGGCCCCGTCGACCTCACGCGCCGCCCCTTAGCGGCCCCGTCGACCTTACGCGCCGCCCCTTAGCGGGCCCCGTCGACCTCACGCGCCGCCCCATACCGGCCCCGCTGGCCCCGTCGACCCGTGCGCCCGCCCCTTAGCGGCCCCGCTGGCCCCGTACACCTGTGCGCCCGCCCCTTAGCGGCTCCGCTGGCCCCGTCGACCCTGTGCGCCCGCCCCTTAGCGGCCCCAGCTGGCCCCGTCGACCACGTGCGCCCGCCCCTTAGCGGCCCCGCTGGCCCCGTCGACCCCGTGCGCCCGTCCCTTAGCGGCCCCGCTGGCCCCCTCGACCCCAAGCGCCGCCCCTTAGCGGCCCCCAGTTGGCCCCGTCGACCCGTGCGCCCGCCCCTTAGCACCCCGTCGCGACAGATTGAGCAGCCCAGCCCGAAACGAGCCGCCCGACCCGAACCGAGCCGAGCCGCCCAGCCCGAACCGAGCCGCGCCACCTGAACCCAGCCGCGCCGCCCTACCCGAGCCGAGCCGCCCTACCTGAACCGAGCCGCGCCGCCCGTCCTGGACCGAGCCGCCCTAACTGACTCGCTGCCTACTGTTTTTAGGTTGCTACTACTGCTGCTATGGCTAGCCCTCCTGTGCTAGCTTTCGATGCTGAGGGCCGCCCAGTGAAGTTCGATACCTGGGTAGATCACCTACACCTCTTCCTACAGCTCCTACTGTAAGGAGGACATCTCATTGTACGATCACGCCCTCGGCCATGCTACTGCTCCTAATGCTACTGCTGACAGCACTGCCCGCTCACAGTGGCAGACTCGTGACGCCCATGCCCGCTTCACTATTCGCAACTCCCTGCCGATAGACGAGCGCGAGCGCTTTGGCCAGCACAAGACTGCACAGGCACTGTACACCGCTGTTGTTTCCCGCTACTCCTCACCTGCCTCTGCTGCGCTAGGCCGTCTCTCACTCCCCTACTTGTTTCCCGACCTGGCCTCGTTCCACACAGTCGCTGATCTCATCACGCACCTCCGTACTAGTGAGGCCCGCTTTCGTGCCGCCATGCCCGACGAGTTTCTTGCCACCAACCCCCCCCGCTCTGGCTCACTCTCTACCACCTAGTCACCCGCCTCCCTGACACTCTGCGTGCTCTCAGGGACCACTTCCTAGCTCGCTGCCCCACTGAGCTCACCATTGCCCTCCTCGAGAAGGAACTACTTGCAGCTGAGGCTAGCATAGTCTCTGTAGGTGCCTCTCATGGCGACCCCCGCACCCATTTCTTCGAGGGGTGTTCCCCTTCCCCTCTTCTTCCCTCTGTCGCCTCTGCTTCTGCTGTCGACCTCCGTGGTGCTAAGAAGGTCGGGGCTGCGTCTGCTTCGAGCGGGCGCCGCAGCGGCAAGGGCAAAGGGGGCAAGGGAGGCGGAGGTGACGGCGGGGGAGGCGGTGGTGGGGGTGGTGGTGGCGGTGGGGGTGGTGGCGGGGCTGGTGGAGCTAGTGGCAGCGGTTGGGGTGGTGGTGGCAACGGCGGGGGCGGTGGCAGGGGCGGGGGCGGTGGTGGGGGCGGCGGTGGACGCGGCGGTGACAGGGGAGGAGGTGGTCGAGGCGGTGGTGGCGGCGGTGGTGGTCGTGGAGGCACTGGCGGTGGCCAGAGCCTACAGCACTCTCCGTCGCCCCAGAAACTCCGTGAGTGGTACACTCGGCAAGGGGGGGGTGGTGGCCTTAGCTGCACGTACGTCATCCGCACTGGTCAGACGTGTGGGAGGGCGCACCCCACGCAGCGCTGCTTCTCACGCCTTGACGACGCTTGGCGTACTTAGTTCCCTGACGCCACTGAGCTGCCCCGCTGGGCTGATCTGATGAAACAAAACATTGATATCTTTGCTCTGGACTTTGATGCTATTCTCTCTGCCATGTATGTGATGTCTATTAGTGGAGAGGGTGCCCAGTACCTGAGTGTTCCGCCCGACCCGGGCATTCGACCTGGTGAGGCTACCGCTCTAGGTGCTAGAGTGTCTGCTACCCCAGGTGCTGGTGAGGCTGCTGCCCTAGGTGCTGGTGCGTCTGCGTCCCCTGTTACTGAGTTGACTGAGGCACTGCACACCTTTACACTAGACTCAGGTGCCTCCCGCTGTTTCTTTCATGACCGCACGGCTCTTGAGCAGCTTGCTCGGCCCGTTGCAGTCTCTCTCGCTGACCCCTCTAGGGGTCCAGTCCTTGCGACCTCCTCCACTGTCCTCCCCTTTCCGGCAGTCCCGTCGGGCACACTGTCCGGTCTCTACCTCCCCTTGTTCTCTACGAACTTGGTGGCAGGTAGTGCGCTCCAGGACAGGGGTGTCCACCAGTTCACCCCTGCCTACGAGCGCGTGACACACTGCACGTGTGCTCGGACGGGCCGTCACCTGGCGACCTTCACACGGCAGCCGGGGTCGGACCTGTACACACTGACTACTGAGTCCCCTCAGGTAGCTGCGCCTGCGTCTGCGTCAGGTCAGCTGTCGCCCCCCTGCTCGTGCCGCTCTCTGGCGCACGAGTCGGTCCTCTGGCACCACCGCCTTGGTCACCCGTCCGTGCAGCGCCTTCGGTCAATGCACAAACGGTACCTTGTCTCTGGTCTTCCCAGGGTTCTCCCTCCCCTCCCACCCTCTCCTGCTCCTCCCTGTCTTCCCTGTGTCGAGGGGCGGCAGCGCGCCGCTCCTCACTCCTCCTCGTTTCCCCCGACGAGTGCTCCCTTACAGACGCTCCACATGGACGTGTGGGGCCCAGTCCGCGTCCGTGGTCAGGGTCAGGAGAGGTACTTCCTGATAGTTGTTGACGACTACTCGCGCTACACCACGGTCTTCCCCTTGCGCACCAAGGGTGAGGTCCCTGATGTTTTGATCCCTTGGATCTGCGCTTCTCGTCTCCAGCTCAGCGAGCGTTTCCACTCGGACTTTCCTGTCCTACGCTTGCACTCTGACAGAGGTGATGAGTTCTCCTCCGACCTCTTGGCAGCCTACTGTGCGGAGCACGGCATCCGCCAGTCGTTCACGCTTCCGGCCTCTCCACAGCAAAATGGGGTTGCTGAGCGCCGCATTGGCTTGGTCATGGACGTCGCTCGTACCTCCTTGATCCATGCGGCTGCCCCCCACTTTCTGTGGCCGTTTGCAGTCCGATACGCTGCGCATCAGCTCAACCTCTGGCCCCGTGTCTCCTTGCCGGAGACTTCCCCGACACTGCTTTGGATGGGAGAGGTTGGCGATGCGTCGCGTTTTCGGGTCTGGGGATCTTGGGCTTTTGTCAGTGATACGTCAACGGACAAGCTCTCCTCCCGTGCTGTTCCGTGTGTCTTCCTCGGCTTTGTCCCGGACGCGTCTGGTTGGCAGTTTTACCACGCCGCCTCGCGCCGTGTACTCGCCTCTCAGGACGTCACCTTTGACGAGTCGGTACCCTTCTACCGCCTCTTCCCCTACCGCACTGCCCAGCTCCCTCCCCCACCTCTCTTCCTCGCGCCAGGTGCTGCTGCAGTAGACCCCCTCCCCCCTCAGGGTGCCGCTCCCTCAGGTGTGTCCCAGGTAGACCCGGTTGAGCCTGTCGAGGTAGCTGTTGACTCTCGTCCTGCTCGGGGTGCTGAGCCTGAGCGTGCGGAGCCTGGGGTTGCTGAGACTGGGGGTGCTGAGCCTGGGGGTGCAGAGTCTGGGGGTACTGACCCTGGGGGTACTGAGCCTGGGGGTGTTGAGCCTGGGAGTGTGGAGCCTGCTTGTGCTGAGTCTGGGGGTGCTGAGCCTGGGAGTACTACGCCTGGAGGAGCTCTCTCCTCACAGCAGCTGCGTGAGTGGTACTTACAGTACTGCAGCCTCAGGAGAGGTGCTTCCGGAGCTAGGGGTACTGCTGGAGCTGGTGCTCGTGCTTCCTCGCCTAGGCGGGAGCTGCCCTCTCCCCAGCGTCTTCGTGAGTGGTACGCACGGCGCTGCAGTCTCAGGAGTGGCGCTCCTAGTGTCGCGGACTCTGCTACTGGTGCTGCGGACCCGGGCGCTGGAGCTGCTGCTGGTGCTGCGGACCCGGACGTTGGAGCTGCTGC